TCGTGGATAAATACTGAGTAGGGGAAATCCAAAACCACACAGCAGAGCCGGGATTTAGATACACCTATCCGTGTCCCAGATGTAGACTACTCGCACGGAGTGCTACTGCAGAGACGGTGCCGCCCAACAACAGAGAAGCCACTCCGTCCTGGAAGCAGGAGAGTCACTATCTCTACTCAGCCAGCCCATTCCATGGGCTCCATGGAATACCCAGGAAAAACTCAGGGGCTTGCCTCAGAGGGGATACCAGCGTGTAACCCACTGAAGGATGTGAGTGCGGCAGGTCACACCCACATACAGAGGGCAGCTTAAGAACACAGGCGTGAACCCCAGTTCCAGAGATAATTTACTGAAATAGGACTGGGGGCTGATGGGCCTCCCTACCCTCCTCCTTTTAAAATTATGCTGAATAGATTGGCCTTTTAAGAGGGTAGTTTACTTCTATATTGCCCACGTTATCTGATTTTAATTGTTTTTAATTCGTATTACTAAGTTTGGAGCATCCCAAACATCTCAGCAGGGGGGCATTTTCCCATGAAGTAATTATTAGTAGTCTTAATTACATATAGGCTCTTAACAGAATTCTATGTGGAATTTGTTTTGTTATTATTTTACAAAATAGTGAGATGCCCCCAAAAGTGGTTTGAGAACTCTCTAAAGGATGTCTTGAATGAAAAGGGACTGCTTAGGACAGTGAGGTACATAAGTGTTGTTTCCTCTGAGAAATAGGCTTACTCTTGAAATTAATCCCTCGAGCAATTCTGAAAGCAAAGCCTGAAAGGTAGTAAACATGTATGATGTCAAAATTGGTAGAAAAGCCACGCCGTGAGGTGGACAGACTTTGGGTCTGGAGGCCAGATGGACCAACTGTGCCAGGAGTGCCCATCAGCCGTGTGACTGTGGAAGGACCCCTTCACCCCCACGCCCTCCATTGGCTCTTCTGTGAACTGGAGAAAACCAGACTTTTGCATCTCCTCGACAGGCACATAAAGTGCCTTGCCCAGGACCCAGCACATGACAGGGACTCAATATAGAGCAGTTGTCAGAGGAACATGTCACGGTGAGCATGAGGATAATGGTCCACTGGCTCAGAGGCAGATATGCATGTTCTGGAACACAGCAATTCTAGAATGTGCCGTGAAGGTAGGAATAGAAACACCAGGCAGGAAAGAACAAGTTGGGGAAGGAGGCATGAACTCCGTCTTCAGAGCCAAGCTGAGAATGCCCGCGGAGCCCTGGCACAGGCGAGCCAGCGCTGAGCCAAACGGCCCACGGACTTCTGCGTGCGCTTTTGCCGCAACAAAAAACTTTGGATCATTTTGAGAACCTCCCGTGAGGCGCCAATATGCTGCGGTACCTTCCCGGCTCTGCTACTGATAGGATTCATCCAGATAAAGTACGAACGCGCTCAAGCTGGCTAGCAGCTGGAAAAACTGGAGTCAATCAAATTGACCTTGAGAAACACAAGAAGGTGGCATTTAACGATGTGCTGGATTAAATCCCAGCACAGAGATGAGGTACAGAAGGGCCTGAAGGAAACCAAACCAGCACATAGCGAGGGGGGGGGCAGTGAGGGGAGCTCTGGGTGGGTCACGAAGGCAGGCTCTCACACACTCAACACCACGGTAATAGCGCAATGACAGAAAATGGCTTTTGGGGCTAAATGTGAATCCCTGTAATCAAAAATCTAAGGGGAAATGAGGAAATAGTATACCAGTATTCACAGGAACTAAGCAAACAGATGAGAGAGGACACAGAGATCAGTCTACAACCTACGAAATCTGATTTAAATGTCTGGACCGCCATGTGAGTATTAGCTTTGCTCTTGTTCCCATTTCCTTTACTCATATGCCTGACAGTGAATATGTTTGGATAACTCTTTCTCTGGAAGCACTGTTTGCCCGTCGACATCAAGTTACCAATATCGTAGCACAAAAGTATACAATGATACATTCTGTCATCTGAAACTTACTCCCCACAACCCAATTTCAGCTTAAACTGCAAGAAAGAAATGAAATGGTGGGTCTTTAGGCTCATACCATTCAACCTTCTTTGTCAGAAGAAGAGAGGAGGAAACAGAGGCACAAAATAGACTGAGAGGCTTGCAAAGGCCCCACTTCACTAAGGCTAAGTAGTACAGACCCAGGGCTTTCAGCCTCTCTCCATAAAACAATGGTTATACTGGGTCAAGTACAAAATGTATCTGTTCTCATATATGAGGGAGAAAGTAATTTTTTAAGTGCATTCACATTTGTGTTTTAAAATCATCTCCTAAGACCCATTTAAATATTAGTAACATTGTACAAGATGGTTCTTGCAGTATTACTAGGGCCACTGAATTTGGTTTTGTTCTAGTTTAGGAATAACAAAATTGTACAAGTTTGACACTGCCTGTTGCTAAATACTCTTCCCTATTGACAGCAGGGATAGAAGCGCGTATGATACCAGCAGGTGACAGCTGAGAAGCGGCTCCCAAAATTTTAAGTACAAATGCCCTTTGAATCAGTGAGTCCACCGCTAAGATTCTGCCCTATGTAACTTTCTGGGTGAAATTTTGGATGAAAATGCAAGACACTAAACTTTCAGAGAGCATGACTTAGAAGACCAAAACAATGCAAACAACATAAAAGCCCGTGAAAAGAGAAACCGCTCAGGTAAATTATGGCCTAAGCACATGATGGAGACTATACAGCAGTTAACAACATGAGGCAGACCTATATACACTGACAAGAATCGATGAGATTCAGTGAAATACTCCAAGTACACAGCCATACAGGTATGTTTACTAGAATATACAAACCTGTCTGGAAGAATATACAAAAAACGGTTCATAGTATTTACCTTCCAAGAGAAGGCCTGGGAGGGACTTTCACTTTTTACCTTATACCTTCCCGGTCCTGTCGAAAGGTTCAGACCACACACACACATTACCATTTTTCGCCTTGTACACCTCGAAAAGTGATTACTATATTACCTAATATAGGTTATTACTTAACTTTAGACCTACGGAGATGGTAAGACCGTCTGAAAAAATGGGCCCTGTTATAATTTAACTCTAAATAAACGATCCACAGAACTCAAGACAAGGGTTCATTTGAAATACACTGAATTTGAGGGGCGCCTGGGTGGCTCAGTCGGTTAAGCGTCCGACTTCAGGTCAAGTCATAATCTTGCAGTTCATGCGTTCAAGCTCCACGTCGGGCTCTGTGCTGACAGCTAACTCAGAGCCTGGGACCTGCTTTGGATTCTGTGTCTCCCTCTCTCTCTGCTCCTCCCCTGTTCACACACTGCCTCTCTCTCTCTCTCTCTCAAAAATAAACATTTAAAAAAAATTTTAATAAATAAAAAGAAATATACTGAATTGGAAATATTTCATTTGAAATATACTGAAAAAGCAGCAATTAATCTTTCTATTCTTTTATTTTTAAGTTCATTTATTTATTTTTGAGAGCGAGCACAAACCAGGGAGGGGCAGAGAGAAAGAAAGAGAGAGAGAGAGAGAGAGGAGAAAGAGAGAATCCCAAGGAGACTCCACAAGCCCAACACATCACGTCCTCCTATAGGAACTATGGTCTGTTTCCTCAGACGGCAAGAATTATTCCACAGCGTTCAGGAAACAAAGGCAGCCTCAGCAAGGACTGTCACCCAGACTTCTTGCTCTGCTCCTGGCCACTCGAGGGTCTCCTCCCCCCAGGGCTGCCGCACAGGCCATACCCTCTGTCCAGTCTGACCTCCTCCAACCTCCCCGGGATCTTTCCCAAAATCTTAGCTCAGTCACTTCCTTCTCGGGGACGCTGACTGTCCCCCACGTTCAGACACTATTTGCCACTACCAAGAACGACATATACTTCCTAGCACCTAGGACTGCCATGCTAACTTTACACTGATGTTTACGTGTCTTTGGTTAAATCACACGTCTACCCTGGGCTGAAAGTTCTATAAAGGCAGTGTTTCCTTAACAGCAGACCACAGCACCCAGGACAGGGTCCACATCGTAAGTACATGAATACAAGACAAGCAAATGAAGAAACAGAAGTCTACATTCACACTGAAGCCCAGCGATCCTGTTACAGAAATGACCAACCTGGGCCCAGCCTCTCTAATGTCTTCTTCCTCACTGACTCAAGGTCCCTGCAGCACCTCTCTCACCTCCTCCCCCGCCATTAGGCTCCAGGCACACTGGCCTCCCTGCTGACCCTGAATCCTCCAGGCATGCCCCTACGCCCAGGCCTTTGCACATGCTGCTCCCACTGCTTATAAAACACATCCCCTGGAGCAGACGCAGCCCGCTGCTTTACTGCATCCAGTGTCAGACCAGACGTCACCGCCTCTGAGGGCTCTCTGCACACTACTCGACCTCACACTGTCCACGCCGCGCCTGCTCCTCCCTCGCTCTGTTTACTGTGCTTCACTGTTTGTAACAACTTGACAGCGGGTTAGGTATTAAACGTCACTACCCCTTACGGTCTGTTTCTCCTGCAGAAGGCAAGCCCAGGGGAGGGCAGGGACCCTATTCTGTTTGATACGCTGAATCCTCAGCCTCAAGACTGCTGCGGCCTTTGGTTAAGCGTATGTGCGCAACACCCACATCCACACAGGGAGAGAAAAGCAAAAAGGGAAAAACAGAGATAGGGTTAAAGCCCACCCCCCCCCCCACCTTCTAATCTTACAAACCAGAAGCATAACAAACTCTTAGCTGCATACACGGGCGTTAACCACATTTTATTTTTCTTACTAAATGAGCTGAATGAGTAAACATTCTCAAACCTCTGACTAATAAAGAAGACGACATTGACAATGAACCATAAACAAATGTGCGGATAATAACAGGCTTGCTTGCCCTTTCATTCATAAAATAAACAAAGAGAATACGACTTTAAAAATAAAGAAAAACGTTATTCCAAGAGCAATAAACTTTATGCACTGTACTAAAACCTCCATGTGTTTATCCCGGAGTGAGTATTTGACAATTAAAAAAAAAAGGTCAAGTGCTTGCTTACCCATTCTCCTAAAATGCGTGACACAGCTGCGTCGGCTGCTGTCACACTCCTACAGGCAAGGATCACATGTGCACCGTGGAGAGCAAAAGACTTGGCAGTTTCAAACCCTATGGTTTAAAGGAAAGTCAACATTAGAAAACACAAATGCAAAAACTGACTCAGCTGAACAGCCTTTATTGAGCACCACACACATTACCCGTGTGGCTCTCAGCCAGAGGCCATCTGTCCCCTGGAAGGCAGTTGCAAATGACAAGAGACATCTTCAGTGATCACAATGGGGGATGAGCTGCTCTTGGCATCTAGTGGGTAAAGTCCAGAAATGCTACAAAATAACCCACAAAGCACAGGACAGCCCCCACAACGGGGAATCATCTGGGCCAAAGGGTCAACATAGTCGAAGTTGAGCAAACCTTGCCAACCCACCCCCAAGGTGAAGGCCAAGGTGAAGCACAAACCAGAGGAGAGATCAGAGCACAGTCTGCCATTTAACGACCGTCTAATGATGAGCAGATCCTGTCCTCAATGTAAAGAATAAGGAATATGTCAAGGACTCAGACATGGTCACTGTTCTCAAAGAGTTCAGTCTCTTTGCCACCCCCCAAGTCGCTCTTTCTCTCTCTCTCTCTCTCAAAAATAAATTAACATTCTAAAAAATAAAAAAATGTTAAGTGGCCACACCAAATGTTGGCAAAGATGTAGAACAAGTAAGAGCCTGTACACCACACCACAGCTCTACGGGTGACATGGCGTGTCTCGTAAGCCGCGAGGAAGACCACACGGCATAGCCCGCAACCACAAATGAATCAATCCTACTGGAGGAGGCAAGAATGAGATTCAGCCAATGCCAGCCCAAATGACCATAGATTGTTGTTTCCGAGATACTGTGAATATGTGTGAAAGATCAGAGTACCATTACCTCGCTGAGATTGCCATGTGAAAGAGTCTAGCAAAATCCATCCATTCATACCTTCCACAGATCTGATCTTCATGGAGACCAGTCTATTTATATAAACTAGCTCTCAAGGGAAGCCAGCACAGCATAGTGGAAAACTCAACCTCAGGAGTTTGACACACTTATGTTGACCCCAGCTCTAGCTATTTATAAGCTGTGGGCTATGCCTTTAACCTATCAGAAACTCAGCTATCTTTTCTTAAAATGAGAAGTAGTAAACTTACACTAAGAGTCTAACCTAACAATAGTAGATGGAAAATAAATGTTAATTCCCAATTCCTCCCAAAATCCCCCGGTCCTGTGTCTCCTCGCGGACTTGCATGACCCATCAAATAGAACACAGTCATTGTGACTGAAAAATTAAACACTCTCTCCTAGATCTGCTCCCAACAGCAAACCCAGGAGCTGACTGTCGAACATCAGCAGAATTTAAAGAAACTAGCTACAAGACCCACCATTCCATTTGTCTGAATACTAGTTCCAGAACACACATGAACTTGACTGTTGAGATAACTTGAGCTATTTTTTAGGTTAAACCAAGTACCGTATTCCCGGATACTCACTTACCGTTATCTAAGGAGAACCTCCTATTTTTGAACCTGATGTTAACATACTGCCCAAAGGATTTCAAATCTGAAATACTTAACATCTAAATGTTTGTGCCCTCTTTGGTGTATGTAGTGGAAGTTGCTTGAAGCTATATCCTCAAGCCATGAGGCCAGAAGACAATGATCTGGAATTTACTAATTTTGACCTATGATGTCAATTTCACCACTTACCACCAGTGGCAAAGGATACCTAACATCATTTGGGAAAAGAGAAAGAAGTAAAACACCAGGTTTTGTAGCCCAGCTGTTCCACGACTGGGTGGGGGCCAGCCTAGGACAAAATCTTGCTAACAGATATGCTACATCAATCAGACTAATGAAATACTGACAGCTATATGGAGGGAACGTGAAGTGGCCAAAATTAGTCCACTTGCACTCCCAGGACTTTACACACCCAGAAGACCTTGTGGAAGACAGTGGACTCTGTGTCCCTGTGAAACGTCCAGGTCAGAGCAATTACCAGAAATATTTTCCATCACATTTTCTTTTTTTTTTTTTTTTTTTTTTTATTTTTTTTTTATTTCTGCGAAAGAGAGAGACAGCGTGAGCAGGGGAGGGTCAGAGAGAGAGGGAGTCACAGACTGAAACAGGCTCCAGGCTCTGAGCTGGCAGTCAGCACAGAGCCCGACGCGGGGCTCGAACCCACGAACCGCGAGATCATGACCTGAGCGAAAGTCGGACGCTTAATCGACTAAGCCACCCAGGCGCCCCAGCAATCATATTCTTAAGGGACTGAGAGAGCACTGATACAATGCAGGGCCAGGCCGACCCCAGGGCTTTATTCATCCAATTCACCAGGTTAACTGTAAACTCTCTAGGATCTGTGCCTTTTTGATCTCTGTATCCTATGTGAGTAACACCCAATAGGATTTAATAAATATTTGCCGAAGGAATGAATGCCTCTTACAGGTGGCTAATAGACTACAACTCTGGACTATTTCAAAATAATCCAAGTTGTTACAGATAATGCTGACGGCTCTCTGACTTCCTTTTTAACAATGAATAAAATATTAAGAACCTGCAAAAAAAAAAACAGGGTTCACTGCAGTTTTGAATGACACTGCCTGGCAATATGTAGCCGGGACAGCATGCCCATTTTCTATCCAAATTTATGTTTCCAAATAAACCTCTTAAGCCATGCTAGCTCACTTGACAAAATGACCTATGGCAAAGGATCTCTCATGACAAAAAGGAAGAGGGACTGCACATTTGCACCGTCTTCTGCTTTACATAATCCCGGGCTGTGGTTACCGTCCAGCCATCTGCTCCTGTGTTGCGGAGAATCACCCTCTGGCTCCTACATCTTCTTTTATCTGAGCAACGGGTTACACATTGCCGGTCACCTTTTAAAAGCTGCAAGACCCAGCTCCATTTTCTTATTCTTTACAATTGCCTTTGGAGCCAAAACCAAAGCATGGATATTTCAAAAGATGAAGGTTTAACAGGAAGGACACTAACACTCGTATAGTAAGAGTGCTATAGTAACAGGAGGAAGAGAGAGGAGGGGAGAGGGAGGAGGAGGAGAAGAAGGAAAAGAAGAAGAAGGTGAAGAAGAGAAGGAGAAAAAAAAGGAGGAGGAGGAAGAGGAGGAGGAGGAAAGGAAAAAAGGTCAATAATGCTACCTACTGCTAGAGTCCTGGCAAAGCTCATGAGAATAGCATCCCTCACACTCCTAATACCGAGGCTGATGACCGGTTTAATTAGCTAAATGCAGTAGTGCTGAGCCAATCCTGCGCCATGCCAAAGTTTGTGCAAAATAATTAAGGCAATGGTGTACTAAATTTAATAACCTGATTCATCTTATAAAAAATTAACTTGATGACAATGTTTAAATTGAACCAGCTCAACTGCACAGAGGTGGCAAGTACGTTCAGAATATTTAAAGCTAATAATATACAGAAAACAGGAGAAGACATTTTAGAACAATGGGCAGCATCCGCCGTCTAGCACTTGTTACATCTGATCCAATCAGGAAAAATAAGTGGCCATGAAGGTTTAACATCTTGCTGTCGCGTTTTAAGCTTTGCATATAAACATTAAAATGCCATAAAAAGGAAAACACCCACTCCCCCCCCAAAAAAATTAAATACTCACTTTTCTTACACTAGATTTCATTCTCTAGAATGGAGGCTACAAACTGTTGATCAAAGGATCAATCAAACCCACAGCCTTTTTCATTTGGCTCAAACACTGTTTCCCTCCCTCCTCCTCTCCTTTCCTTTCTTTCCTCCCCTGTTTTACTTCCTACTTTCTCTTCCTTCCTTCTTTCCTCCCTTCCTTCCTAATATGAATTAGTCACCAGCATTAAAAAACCAGATTATATATCCGAGGGCAGGTGTCCACCTTCTCTGAAAAAGTTGATGACGGGGCCCCAAATCCCACTGCGGCCACAGGCCAGAGATGGGATTCGTGCCCTCCTGTTGCCCGAGGTCACCACCCACGCTGCCGACTTTACCTGCCAGACTGCTGTAGGCATTCAATGCTCACATGCACATTATACAGGTAAGATTCATGCTAGACACCATGCGCAAGCCTGGCCACAAAACTGTCTCAATCAGAACTTTCATGTCCAAACTGTTGCATCTCAAAGAATGCTTCACACTGACTGGCTCAAGATTTTATTGGAACCCTGTCTGGTCCCATGAGAAGATCAGGACGCCCGCCAGCTACACCCCGGAAGACCTGGAGGCAGCACTCGGCTTTGCTCTGGGAAACGCAGGGGAGCGACCTGGGGACCTGCCGGAATTAGGGTCTGTGCTGTGCATTTCGTGACCCGCCTTCCTGGCGTTTCCCAAATGTCACTGGGAGGTAGCAGAAACTGGGCGAGAGCCATGCTGGGGCCAGAGGACATGAAAATGAACCAGTCAAGCCAAGAAAGGCCAAGACAAGCTCATGGACTGGAGAAGGGGGCCTGCGTGAATGAGGAAGGGGGAACATGGTAGAAGAAACACTGACAAGCCAGCAGAAGCCATGGTGTGCTGGCAGGTGGCAGAGAGCAGCGCTACGAACGATAATAATCAGTATTAGCATTACAACCATACGATGACATATTGTACAGAGATACACATTGTATGGTTATAATACTAATTATTATTATTTTATTCATTTCAGATACCTCTGGTGGTCGTGCAGAAGGTGGGTGAGCTGCAGACACTAAAGCCTTGTGAACAGCCAGGAGGGGATAAGGTATCCTCATAGCTGAACGGCCAAGGGAAAAATTAGAAAATACTTTGGGAAGCAAACATCACACCAAAGCCTGATGGCTGCCAGAGTCTAAGTTGGAAAGAGAACCCCATGTCTCCACAATTACCAGCCTGGCCCCGGAAGAGGGTGGCCACTGGTTCACCCAGGCAGTGAATACGGAGGAGGGTGGGTCTGTGCGCGGTGGTGGAGGCGGCACATGGAGCAGGTGACCACCCCGGGTGAGACTCACTGGCAGGACAGACAGGGGGCGACAGAGTCACAGACTCCTCAGGCACAAAGGACATTAGGGTGAGAACCCAGTCCTCACAAATACAAAGACCCTAAGGAAGCAGGAGTGAAGAAC